AATTAGTAAATACATTGTGAAAACTGGAAGCAATTCTATCACCATTGGATGTACGGGCCGTTGGTTATTTTGTCATCACCGCCATACAACTCCCTGTTGGTGAAGCAGACGGCCAACATGGGGTCAATAGTGTATCACCGCCGAATCGTTTGGTAACCCGACACTGACTAAACAATCATCATGGGTGGATAGTTTTGCAACATGACGGTGACGATGCCCTATGACCACGTCGTTCATTCGTTGAAGTGACTATGATGTTCGCCTCGACATAGGAGGGTCATGCTCCAATGCCATGGAAACAAGGACCTGATCATGGATGGATCATAAGCCAACACGATAGTGTTAGTGTAAACCTATACAGGCGGGTCGGGCCTCAATGCGATAGAATAAGGATCTGATCATGGATGGATCATAAGCCATGCGACGGTGTTAGTGCATACCCACATAGGTGAGCCGTGCTCTAATGTGATGGAAGTAAGGACCTTATCACGAACGGATGATAAGCCAAAATGACAGTGTAGTGAATATCCCAATCGGTCTCAGATAGCGATGGCGATGGCTATGACTATCACTGCCAACAACTTACTACCGAGGCCAAAATTAGACTACGATAGGGGTTATGATGTAGCTGTGAAAGGTGTGAATGTAGTAGTGTCAGGGAATGGTGGCGGTGTGATGGCGACTCCTAACACGGCGCTGAGGACAGAGTCCAGTGACTTGAGGTCATCAGAGCTACTTACGCCAACGATGCTAGTGGTCGGAGCTCATCTCCAACTAGCGGCTGGTGTCCCGGAGGTCAACCCTTAGCAGACAGAGGAGTCCTCGGTGATAGCAGAGGCTTAGAGCATCGGTGATGGCTTGCCATAGAGATGATGGCGATGTGGTGATGAGTGGGCACTCCCTTGGAGCATTCTTAGCAAACGAGGAGGGGTGGCACATGGTCATGGCGTATCCAAAGATGTGTGGACGGGGTTGCTCAACCTGATCGTGCCTTGCCGGCAGCGAACACGGACAAAGGCGCCCTGGCGGCAGGCGGCTCCCATCGGTAAGGTGGCATAGAGAGCTTTGGGAGTCTAGGATTGCTGGAGGAGGTAGAGGAGAGAACCTGGAAGCATGGTCGCTAACCTAATCAACCTATAGTTGACTAGAGAAGAAGAACTCGTAGCTCATTCCCACGACGGCCATGGCGACCGGGTTGGGGAAAATCGAGGTAGAGCTCAGAAGGAGAGGAAAAGGGAATCTAAGGGGGAGATGAGGTGTTCCCAAGCTAGGCAAAGCTTGCTGCGCTATTGGTTGAGGTGGGGGCTCGCTGGCCAGGCCTATTTAACGGTCGGTGAGGTCAGTTTCGCTGGCAATCGATATTTTCCTCACCCGGAGATCTTTTCCTTTGCACACGTGCTCCATCCTTGCCTGGTGATGAGTTGGCCAACAGCTATAGATCGTGCTTATTCAAACTTGGCTGGGGAAGAAGCGGGGACTAGGCCCGGCCATGGCGGCGGCAACGGCTAGTTGCCCTAGCGCCGCCGCGTGGTGAGGAGAGGATAAGGCTATTGTGGAGCTTCATGGGGTCCGCGCGTGGTCATCCTTATCCACTTGAATACGGGCATGGTAGAGGCATGGTAGCGAGCTCGAGGCGGCGTAGTGCGACGCGGTGTTAGCATCATTGTCAAGTAGACAATGATGTTGACATGCAGGCCCGTGTCATCAGCGAGCGTGAGAGAGAAAGGGGGAAGGGCTGCGGGCGCACTGAGTTGTGCTGGCCCAAGTGGGAGGGAAGGAGAGGAGGAGGTAGGCGCGCGCGTGCGGGCTGAGCTGGTTGGCGGCCCAAATGGGAGGGAGAAGAGGAGGAGAGGTGGGCCGCGGCCCGTGCCAGAATAAAGAAGGGAGTGAATTGATCACGTGTCCCTCTTTCTATTTAGGAATTGCTTTTCTATTTCCCATAAATAAACTACGGTTTATTTGAATTGATTTTTGGTTTGAATTTCAAGGAGTTTTGAAAGGTGGATGGTTTGGATAGTTAGGGATGGTCAAGGATAGTTTAGATAGGTTTTGCCAAGGAAATTTATTTGGTGCCATGTAAATTCTAGGGCAAACAAGTCATCCAGTCAATCAAACAAGCATTTCAAACATTTCAAATATTTCAAACATATATGCACATGGTGTTTTGATGCAAGGCTTTTGGAAAGGTTTTTCAAAATGGGTTTTGTATAAACTAAACTAGTCAAGTTTTAGTTTGTTGTAAAGTTTTAAAAAGTCCAATGATTTTTTTTAGGATGCAAAACACATGGTGTTACAAAACTTAAACAAACTCAGAAGAGATTTGAATTTGCTTCGTACAAGTCTAGTAAATAAAACGTGCAAAAATCCAATGCTACATCATTTATGCAACAATAAAGTTTCTAAACCTCATATTAAATTTTAATCTCATGGAAATTATTATTTCGCTATGTTAAATCATGGAAAAAAATAAAAACAAAAAAATATTTTAGGAAAATAATTTTTGGGGTGTTCCAGGTAGAAAACCTAGCTACCTCAGCAAGTGTATTTCTAGAGATGAGTTGATTAGTGGGATCCCATGGAGATCTCTATAAAAGCGGCTGGGAATTGAGCCACCTTTGCAAAAGACAAATGTATCTACAATTCATTTTTGTAGTAGTGACTCCAATTAAAATATATGTTTTCTAAATTTAATATAATTTTTAGACAACAACAACATCATAGATAATTAATATCAGCCATAAGAGTGTCAAACAACATATTTCATATTTTTCCTAGATAGTTCTCATCAATACAACTCTAACAAAATTGGATTTGCCATTTAAACCTTACTATGTTTGACCAAGATGATACAAAATACCAATATTTATGACAGTTAATAAGTGTGATTAGATTTATCATAAAATATATTATTATAATATATCTATTTAGTGTCTTCAATGTTGATACTTTTCTCTATGAGCTTTGTGAAAAGGATAGTTTGACCTAAGAACAAAATAAAAATATTTGGTACGAGTGAGTAAAGGACATCTTGGGCGTTAGAGAGTTGCCCATTAATTAGATATGGTCGCAAGATTTGATGTTCAATGAGTATTGCAGTAATAAGTAATACCATATCATCCAGAATGCACTACCAAACTATATATTATTAATTGTTGCACATCGAAATAGTAAAATTTTATGGAGTCCTGCTATTGTGCAGGCGCAAGATGTACTCTCATTATTGTGTATTATGCTGCACACATCACCATGTCTACAAGATATCCCTTCACCTGAATCATTTAATGATTACTCAGATATGTGGAATTTCGTAAAAAGGACCTTAGTTGTCTTTGTATTTTCTTCATATGAACCCTTATTCGAAGACAGCAGAGAGCTGCATAGAAATTTCTGAGCCTTTGTTTTTTGAGAAAGGCAAAGAAAATTTGTAAGTGCGCTTTACCTTAAACCTAATATATATTTTCTATTTCTCACTGTACTGAGTTGGGCCTAGTGGTACATACATATAGACGTAGTGTGGAACATTTGTATCAACACGGCTGGTTGAGCAAGTGGACACTTATCGTTATGACCATTTAAACATGCTGTGCCTGTTTATCATTGTCTTTGATCGGCCAACATTACTACTATTGTGGAGCATATACTGCTTGCTTTGTTAGTCGTCTGATACAGGCGAGTTATGGGACTGGTTATGGTAATCTTCTTAAATGTCTTAAACCGCTTTCTGTAATCTCTCGAATGTTGTATTTCCGTTGGATGCGTGGAACGGGGAAGATTCATCGTGTCAAAATAAAAATATACTGTCTCCTTTTTTAAATTCTATGTGACATTTAGGATAGGCTTCTAAAAGATAATTATCTTGTACTGTGGTAGGCGACATATATTTCAAGACGCAGCGAGGGAGTAATATAATAGCACAGTGATAGTACGCTTCGCAGGTAGCTTAATTTATATGTCCGGCTCATATATATGGGCTTAGCGAAAACTTATTTCGTTTTTTTGATATTATGTTTATAGTAGAGAACAAGATATATAGCTCGAAATTTTGAATTGTCATTTCAGCCGCCAGCATCACAAAATCACTGCCCTACGTCTATCAATCTTCAAACCTATAAGACAGAAGGGATCAGATTGTCCTGCAAGAGGCATGTATCATGTCTCTAGTCTTGACCCTCTAATGAATATATAACACCTTATGCCTTGTTTGGATACACATGTATATACTTCAATCCATATGTGTTGGAGCGGATTAAAATGAAACTTAGTTTAATCCATTCCAATCCACTTCAACACATATGAATTGAGATTAATACATGCGCATCCAAACAAAATCTTAAGAAGTTTTGAGCCCTGTTGAAAACTCACAGATGTTTTACTCCTGTCTAATGACGCATTGTGCAACGCAAGCACCAGTACAGGTGTGAATCGTATGGAGATTTTGTAACCAACCGTCTGACCTAAAGTTTCAGATGCTAAATAGATAATTTGTATTCGAATCCGGACATTCAACATTTGTACCATATCCGAATGCTCAAAGTTGAATTTCTTATATGGATATCTGTATCTGAAATAATATATCCAACACATCTGACATTAGCCTTGTCCCACTTCAGATCCGAGAAAAAATAATTATCTATATTCATATTCGTATATATCCTTACATATTTGGTTCATTAACAATACTAACACCAATGGAACATTCTGGGTTATTGCACAGCTTGGATACATAGTTTGGGCTTTTGTAGAAAATTCCAATACGTGATGCCCCTGTATGAATAGGAAAAATAACAATAGTTGACCCAAATATACTTGTATAATGATTATTAAAACTACAAGTGCTTACATACACAGACCACATGTCAGTTACAAGTCGGCAGTAATAATAAATGAAACATATAGAAAGGAAGACATTGTACCTTGTTTCTCTATTTATAGGCACTGGCCGCTTCAGGTGTTTTCCACACAGTTGGACCATAAACAGCAGCGGTACCCTGTAGAAACATATGGGCACTCAAATAATAGGGGAACGAACGAGTGGTGACCTTAGTGTGATAGTTGTGGACGAAAATCTATGCCATGCCAACACTGCAAGTTGCATGCTTGCCAACCTCCAATTTCAAGGTAAATATCTAAAATAATACTGTGCATTTGCCGGGAGCAAGAACGTTATGCACATAGACTTTTTTCATGCTTTATTTATTTATGGATCTATGCAGTTTCTAAATTTTTTTTATTCTAGCTCTGCAATTGTTAGCCTCTAGAAGCTTCTCATTAAAAGACTATTTCTCAGTGTCAAAAACAATTCCTGAACGTTTATCTTGTTTGTTTCAGTGGTTGTATATGCGAGTCCTGTTGATGCACTCAAGTTTCTTAAGGATCACGAAAGACATACTGATTTTGCATTAGTGGAAGTCAACATGAAAGAGATGCATGGTTTTCAGTTCCTTGACATATCCAGGGAGTTGCACAAAAACCTTCAAGTGATCAGTAAGTAGGCCAGTTTCTTTGCGAAATACTCTCTCCATTTTTTACTTGTCATATTAATTTGTTCTAAATCAAACGTTTTTATCTTTGATCATTGATTTAAAAAAAATATTAAAAGCATAAGATTTATGACTTTAGATTCACTATGAGAAATAGTTCGATAATAATTCACATGTTACAACGTTTTTTTTAAATTGATGATAAAACATAAAAAAGTTTGACTTTAATAAAACTAATATGACATGTAAAAAAACAGAGCAAAAACCTTTCATAAGGATGCATGCAAAAATCATTTATTTCGATATGAATAGTGCTTGACAGAAAATAAAATTTCTAAAATTGTTAAGAAACTAATTAACTTCCGTTTGCTTGGAACAGTGATGTCAGCTGATACGACATGGCCCACGATGAAGAGAAGCGTCGAGCTTGGTGCATGTTTTTTGATTAAAAAGCCTCTTGATGCAAATACGATAAATAACCTGTGGCAACATCTTGACCTAAAATTTCAACGGACCAACAAGATTAAGGACTTATTCCCAGGTTGGAGCTACCGTGGCGCATGTTTTTTTTCTTCTTTTGAAAGACGCTGTGCACATGTTGAACTCCGTATATGGTTGACCAACGAAACAGAGACAACAGTTTGTTCTAATGTCTAATCCAGAGACGACCTACCACTTCTGTGTGTGCGGTCTACATCATTTAATAAATTTAGCTAAGGGTATGTTAATCCACTAGAAGTGTCCTAAAGTAAATTGTGTAAGCATGTTTGCCGTAAATGGTTCGTTCTTTATGTCCTGGAAAATAGTCAATGTAAAATATAGTTACAACAGCAACAGGGAGTACATCGACATCAGTTACCATTTGAATCAAATGATTTTGTAAAATTACAATTCGAAAGTATTGTAGTCCAAAAATATGCATATTAATTGCTACCTTGCATGTGAATACATATAGGTATTGAAGGAAAAATGGGGAATGCATTTGGGGAAGGTACCAAACAGAAGGCAACTCACCTGATGTGGACACCATTTCTGCAGAGGAAGTTTTTGCAAGCTGTTGAACTACTTGGGGAAGGTACAATGTCTCTATTTCTATCATGCCTTACAATTCCTCAATATCAGATATGTAGTTGGTTACATATGTGAGTCAATTTTATTTTAGCCGCAACTCCAAAGAAGATACAGTTGCTCATGAATGTAAACTCCATTGGTCGCAAACAAATTTCTGCTCATCTTCAGGTACATGCATATTCTTCTTCTTTAGATTATTGACAACTCACATAAACTAAAACATTTTTTAATAACAACTTATTAATTGTATGAATTTTAATTTTGTCAGAAACACCGAAAGAAGATTGAGAAGGAACTACGTAATTCAAATGCAAACAAGTCCAGCCATGGCACCCTGAATTCACAGCCTTTAAGGATTTGTGGAATAGGCCATAACACATTCCAATACAATCCCGACATCCAACCAGAAGATAGATCTGTGAGCTAATTATTAATGCAGATGGTAATTACAGTACTATGTACCTTCGAAGCTGACAAGTCTGATCATCGTTGCTTGCCTGCATGCAGGATGAAGTTGTGTCCTTGGATCATACAGAAATCATTGAGGAAACACAAAGCAACATGTTGTATGAAGCAATGCGGAGAGCCTTGCAGCTTGGGACTGTTTTCGAGGAATCGCAGTTGCCCAATGATCCTTCTGGCAAAGATGCAGGAAAAGTTGAAATAGACATGATGAGGGATGGTAATTATCGAGATGCTGGGACATATGCATTTGGTGATAAAAATGAAGTATATGAAACTCACAATGCAGATGATAACGCGAAGGTCATGGGCAAGGATGATTCTGACAAGCTGGATTCTTATGGCGATGAGCTGCGACCAGTTGTGACGCTTGTGACCTATTCGGACTCAGAAGAAGGTGAAACGCTCTAGTTAACGGAGCAATGAATTGCGTAGGTGGAGGTACTTGTAAACTGTCATCAGAAATGATGCCATTATGGATGGATGTTCATGAATACACAGTTTCTGTATCTTCTTAATTATTGAAGGAACATCTTCTTAATAAATGTTGAAGGAACTTCGGGAGTGTAACCCAAGAGAGGGATGGGAAAATTTGATCACCAAAAACTTTTCTAACCTAAGGCTCTAACATTCTTCCATACTTTTTTTTATCGGCTACAACTTGGAAGTACACAACCCACATACTCCACACTCACACCACAGATGCGTGCAAATATGAGATTGGGAGGCTCTCTAGCCTCCAGTGCGTGGAAAACGCGTAGTACCACCAAACGCACACACGTGTGTTTACCCTGCTTTTTCTGGAAAAAATCCAGAAAATAGGTGCAACACCAGGGGGTTTGAACCCTAGTGGGTAGCATCCCACTAGACCGTCCTACCACTAAACCACATGCCCATTCGTTAACATTCTTCCATACTTGATAAACATAAACAATCAAACTAGCAACATGTGCCTTTAGAATTTATCTAGTGTCTTTACTTACTCACCCACAAAGTGCTCCGCAATATATATCTAATTCTACCAACTAGACCAACCTACTCGAGGAAACATAAAGACAAATAAGCGGTAGCATAAATGTGGTAGTTAAGCTCTAGTGATGAAAAGCAAACTTCCAAGATTAGATGATGTATCTTGTGAAGTCCATGTTGGATCTCTAACAATGTACACTCCTGATAACCAAGCTTTTCCCTAGTCACATTGTTGGGTCGACAAAGGTACCCAACCAAAACACGTGCACAAAGACACTTAGGTTTACCACTTGCCACCTCACTCTCTAGGTCACTTTTGTTTAAGACCACTTTTATGTTACATGTGTTTGCATCTTGCATTTCAATCCTTTGACTTTGCCTATTGTAAGGAATATGGGCCTTATGGCACATTCTACTATGGTTCTATTGATTGCAATGGCAATCCAATCAAAAGGACTAACATGTGCGCTAAGGTGTGTTAGACAAGGTCACATATGTCATAAGGATGTAAGAAAACAAGGAGCAAAGTTTGGAGAAGAAAATACAAAAAAACATGCAAATCACAGAAAATATAGAGAATTGGACAGTCACATCTCTGCAAAAATTAGAGTGCTGGACAAATTAATTGTATGTTTATTGTGGCAAGTAAACCTGATGGTCTAGTGAGAAGAAAAGAAGACCAATGAATAATCATACATCGGCCAAAGAAACAACAAATGAAAAGGTGTTCACGACCATTGAAGGATTCAACAAATCAAATAGTCTGGCGGTGGAAAAAATACAAGCACCAAATCACATGGTGAGTGCAATTTTCAGCGGTCTATTTGTAGGGATATTGCTTGTCATGACCTGAAGTCATTCCAACTAAAATCTTTAATAAAATTTCTTTAACTCACCCAGCCAAGGTTCTCATGTTCCCAAGTGTCCCTTCATCATTCTCTGGAACGGATCCTAGCATTCTCTACTAGAACAAGAACTACAAATTTGTAACTCAATCTCGCTAGTTCTTTCAAGTCAATCAGACTCAAACTAGAGTTGAACATGGTGAAATGGAAGTCAACTTCATGAGAGTCCTCTGTGAAAGGTGCTAATCAATTTTTCTAATCTCTCCAACATTAATTATCTATATCTTGGACACTATGATTGGCCCCAATGCCAAGAAGCCCAATCTCTAGATCAAATTCTCAAAGTCAGAGAATTGATGGAACATTCCATCCTTCTTGGTGGATTGTCCATAAGTTCATAGAATCAGCAGATTGAGTGGGGGAGTGAGCTATTTTCCACTCACCCATGGATGGCCCACATGTCAGCACAAGTTCGAGGCACTCTTCAATAGAAGGACATTAGCTCCACTCACCCTCTCTTCCATTTCACTACCTCCCTCTCTCTCTAAAATGAAGAACAAGGAAGAACAAGATGAACTAGAGTGAGAAAGTGGGTAAGAAGAAGAAAGGAAGGGAAATCAAGGAAGGAAAGGGCAGCAAGATCAGCCTAAGGTCAAGATCATGAGCCTCTCCATCTCCATCATATCATGGTTAGCTCAAGAGCTCTCTCTTCTCATTTTCTTGAGCTCAATCCTCAAACCCTAACTCATGATTCTCTCTATGCATGGATGGAGCATGAGGATTGGAAGTTGCTCCATTGTCTCAAGGGTAAGATCAAGAGTTGCTATAGCTCAATCCTCTCATGCATTTCTTCAATCCATCTCTCATGCCACTTTATGGATTTTTGCAAAAATGGCCAAATCCTTCTCTATGACGTGAAGGCAAGGTTTCTAAAGGGTCTATCTTCAATCTTGGTGGCATGGAAACCACCAAATCTTAGAGCTAAGTTGGCATGCCCAATCTCATGAATTATATCTCAATTTCTCATACTTTTAGTCAAAATCTAAATCACTAGTTGCACTTGAAAACTAGAGCTCAAACCCTAGTAAACACTAGGGAATCATGTCACCCAAATCACCCTAGGAACCCCTACACATGCATGATACACAACTCAAACAATCTAGACTTAAACAACATGAGAAACTAAGAACATAGGTTTTGTTGACCAAAGGATGGAGTGTCCATCATCTTTGATGCAGTGTCCGTCAAACCGTACATGTCGGTGTTTCGTAAACCGGACTAGTAAATTTATACGATTGCCGTGTTGTTCTAGGAAGAGGATGGCAGCATCCAATAGACATGAGGATTTATACTGGTTCAGGCTGGAGCTCTACATCCAGTCTTAGAGAAGATCGAGTGCGTGTTCCTCACTTGAATGCTCTGAAGTTCTTACAATGAGGGGGTGAAAGAATGGTAAAAGAGGTGGTACAACCTATGCTAGATGAGGAGCAGCCCGAAGATAAGCTCCAGGAGCCCTACTGCTATGGATGGGATCGTAGAGGATGATGAATGTGAAGATCCCCGAGATGGGAACTCTGGCTACCCTTATATAGAGTTCGGGGCTAGGGCTTGTTACAAAGAGGAGGTTCCCCTGACCGAAGGGTCGAGAGCCTGAGGGAGGTCCTAGCTAACTCGGCTTGCAAGCTATGCCATCTTCTAGTGCTCGCCCGAGCATGGCTATCTTTATGTTCTTGTGGCCACATCATGGCAGGGTCTGACATGGTGCTACTGTGCTGGCTGTGGCAGCATTGTAGCCATGGTGATGGTTCGTCAGCAATCCTGTGCAACATGGCATCCATCATGGTCTTCGCCATCATCTTCAAGTTTCCCAAGGCATCGTACCCATAGTAGGTAGCCGCCCTGGGTCATTGTTCAGCCAGTCACTTTGTGGGGCTGAGCGCCACGACCCTGATCGTTGGGGTCAGGGATCTCCACCTGCCAAGGAGGTCTCCTAGTCAAGACCCTTGTCATGGATCCCATCTCATAGTGGGTCGGATCATACACGCATCATGTGGGTCCATATTTGGATGGTGGGCATCGTACTCGTGGCCATCGATGTGTGGTATTATCTTATTGGTGCGACGCGACTCTAGGATGGTGTCCGACTAGACTGAGGTGACTGTTGTCACATTGGTCCTTGAGGGATCAGTGCGGCATGCTCGCCCCTGTCAGAGCAGGTTCGTCAGGCAGGGCCTAACCTCTCCCTGTCCCTTTTTAGGCGTCATGATAGGGGAGAGGTCGTGCATCTGAGCATCATGTTACCTGCGCTGGAGGAAGGGGTCATGAACACCCCTGGCCTCAGTGCCTGCGGTGCTCTGCTCTGCTTTCATAGGGCCTCGATTGTTTGGGCCCTTGCTGACTGTTGCATTGTAGGCCGTGTGGCTTGCTAACTAATCGATGCCTTGAGACACCCTAGGGTCATGACCCCGACAGTAGCCCCTGAGCATTTTTGTGACTACGAAGTGATTGGGAAAGCGCTGATATGCGTGTTCATTCGGAGCATGGGCTCGTGGTTGCGGCCTACTTGAGCTTTGTTGCTCGACCCCTTGTGGGTTGAAGCATTTAATGCAGAGGGTGGCCGTTGTGTTCCATTTTGCTAGGATGTCCTGGCATTGTGGTTCATGACCGCTGAACCTTGCCTTGCTAGTGCGTCATGCATCAGGATGTCCTGCTATCTAATCTTCATGGAGTCGTTTCCCTGACCTCTGATTTGCATGGTCGTGAGGACTTTTTGTGACATGCCCTGGCTCGTAGATTTTTGGACCTTTCTTGTTTTTTTTTGCGTTACCGGGCCACGATCATGCTTCAGGCTTTGCATTGCGCATCACCCTGGCCTCTTTGCTTCGTCGATCTCTCTCGGAGAGGTCATAGACCCCTGATGGTTTGTGAGTCCCTAGAGCAGGCCTTAGGTCTGAGACCTGGGACGTAGGGCAAAGTTCATCGGGGCTTGGCCCTGACCTCTTTGGGGTTGTGGGGACCCAAATCTATTTTTCCCTTGATGACCTTGAGTGGTCGTGTTGCCTTGTAATACGCGGGTCTAGTTTTGCCCCATGCAGGGATAGGCATGTCCACCGTAACCACGTGGTCGGAGAGGTGCGCCTCGTCGGGTTCTATGGGTAATCCGAGTGAGACCCAATATCCTCCCCAGTCCATGTGGAGTTTGGCAATGCCTCACATGAGACGTCCCATAAATCGTTGGCCATCAATCCTATTGGTCCCCAACTGCCTCCGCAGTGGCCAGAGGGCAAAATGCCTCCCACAAGTGGGGGTCAACCCAGGAGACTTCGAAGCGGCATGTGGCTCCATACCACCAATTAGAGCCGTAGAGGCCCATCTCCTCCCTACCCCTATACCTTTTGTGGCCTCGAGCCCTTCTAAGGGGCGGCCCAAGAGAAGGTTTCCTAAGAACGATGCGGGGTCGTGGATGTGGAGGGCCACTCGGCATGTGAATCTAGGGGGGTTGTCGCCCTCCCCTAGCCATGTCACGTCTTGGTGGTGCCCTCTTGTAAACGGTTGTGCAGCATAAATCATTGGGGCATAAATCAAAAGATAGTGAAG